ACACACACACACACACACACACACACACACACACACACACACACACATACATACATACATACATACACACACACACACACACACACACACACACACAGCACGTGTGTATCAACCTAATGGCAAACCGTTTTACTCCTGATGCCCCTGAATGACATGGGGCTGGTATTCAGGGTGCGGCTGGCAGTGGGGCAGAGAGGTGAAAACAACCACACCCATTTTATAGCACATACCAGATCTGGCTCAGGCATTCTTTGGTTCCCATACAGAATGTGACCCCCCTCCACACAAAAACTAATTACATTTTTGTAAATCAAATTAAACCAAGCTAAATTGAATTAAATGTAACTGTTTGCAAACTCTTAATTAGTTCATGATAATTTCACTAATATATCAATATGAACATGGTGATATTTTATTGGTGTTCAGTTGCTACACAACTGCTGCTCTAACTGTTCAGCATTTTTGGAAATGTGCTTATTGGTTTTCTTTCCAAGAGTTAAGAAAGTTGATATCAATCGCATGTGTGCAGTGTTAGAGCTGAGAGGCAATTAGCCTAGCTTAGCATAAAGACTGGAAGCAGGGGGAAACAATTAGCCTGGCTTTGTCCAAAGTAAAAAAAAAAAAACACTCACTAGCCCCTTTAAAGCTCATTAATTAGCACATCATATCTTATTTGTTACACAAACAGATATGTAAAAAAGACATTTTCTGGGTTTTCAGTGAATTGCATGCTGTAAATGAGGCCAGCATTTGTTTAGTTGGGTTGTGTTTGAGTGCTTGCTGGATATCTTTAATTAGGCTGCAATCAATTAAGACTAATTGTTCATTCTATAGTTAAGAAGCTGCTCCCACTGCTTTTCTTGTCCTCTCTTTCTGTTTGTGTGTGCAGCTAAGTGCTAAGTAAAATGGTATTCTGTAGAACACTCGCAGGAGAAACAGCTACGAACACATGCCACAACTATTTCTTGGCGAACACTGCTCGGTGCAGGAAAAACCTTTTTGTCTCTCCGAGGTTGCCAGGCAACCAGCGGAGACACAGCAGTAGAAGCACCAGCAGGCAGATGGATAAACTGTTGTCCAACAAGAAACACAGCTTACAACTCCCCCTAAACTTATTTATTTATTTATTTTATTTGTGAAACTATTCCGTTGAATTTAAAGGACAATATCACTCTTCTTTTTTGCACATTTTGTTGAGCTGCTCTATTATAAGTAATATATTTGTTACATTACTCCTGGTGTTTTTTTACAAGGTGTATTTTTTTGATTTTTTAACATGTTTTACATCGAATTTAAGTTTACCACAATGTGTTTTATTTATTTATACACTCTACTTATTTAAGCTGATATCTATGATATCTGGTTATTATTATCGATATCTAATTTACTCATATGCACATTTGAAACAAGCTTAAGATACCAATCCATCATGTTGGCTTTTATATTTGTCAGTTTGGGAAGTGTGTGCGCGTTCTTTCCAAGAGCTTGATGATAAAACCAATACCAATCTTGTGTCTGTGTGAATGGAGATATTAACTGTCTTTGACAGCTGACAAGGATTGTCATATATAGGGGAATAAGTGGAAATCGATGGAAGGCTGGTAAGACATACAAAAATCTGAACCACTACATCATGCTTTGGAAAAACATAACATACATGATTAGTAATGAATGGACTCAGAGACCGCCATGCTCCTTCAAGTCTTCCTGATAAAGTTACATCAGAGGTGATCTGTACTCTACTGACAGGCCTGGATGGAAGACTTCATCTTCATATAAGGAGGTGGAGCAGCATCGTTTTTCTCCATGAGACCAGTGACCCAGATTGGTTCAGGTGTCATGTGACGGCTCCCAGACGGCCCCTCCCTCCCATTCACCCCCTCCCCGGCTCTGTCTCCATACCCCCAAGAGGCATATCCATGTCAACCTGCTGCACAGGTACACCTTTGTTACAGGATCAGTGAGCTGCAGTAGCCTACTGCCTTAAAGCCAGACAGCACTACACACAGTGGACATTCTTATTTGTGTCATTTCCTATAGATATGCAGTATCTTTAGATACCGTTGAGGTGCAATATCAGCATAATATCATAAGAAAACATGGGATATATGGGCAGCCGTGCTTAAACTGAGCACATAGCTTATCTCAGTTCTCACCGATTCCCTGCACAGTCGCGTCTTTCACCTTTGATGTGAAGTCCCTCAGGCGATGAATGCGTCAGGTCTTTCCCTTACCCTCCCTTCTGCTCATTCTCTTTCTCACACACACCTGCACAGGTGCAAACACAAAACTTATACTTCTCTTCTTCCTCACTCCCTATGATTCATGTCAAATGCTCGAGAATGAAAGTCCTGTCTCTTCCCTTTATATAACTATCTGAATGTGTTTTTGTGTGGGTGTATGTGTGTGTGGGTGTTTGTTGGTTTCTGGTTGCTACATACTCAGCCCCACCCTTACCTCCACCGCAGAGTCAGTATCAGAACATTTCAAGTTTGTGCAAATAGTGTCTGTGAAAACAATGCAAATGACACAGGCAAAGTCAGTTTCAATAAGTAAAAAAAAACATAATCAATGAGTCACATCTTAAAAAGGACACTGATGCAGTTGCAGCATCTGCCATTTTGTGCCAGTGGAAGGTATCACATCTCTTTGTAGCTGCAAGGGCTATTTGTCTTTTTATGTGTTTTCTTCTTCATCATTTATGTGAAGCACACTGGGAATTTGTTTCACATCCATTTCTGGCTCAGCCTCCCCTGTTCTGGTTCCAATAGCCGTTTGGATTTTTGATCCAGTTCCAGGCCGATAAAAATACCCAAACTCATTTACCTCAGAGTCTAATTAATCGTTTATCTTCTCACTCATCTCTTTTTGTTTGTACTAGCACTGAGTAATGCACAACACATTAGCACATAGCCATTCAGATAGATAGTAAATATCACATTTTTTCTGGAAAAAGTATTCTTGTTTGAGCGGTAAACCTAAATTGAACTAAAGTAATTATTATTATAATTATTATACAACATGTTTATTCGTTAAAGAGAATAAAACACAGGAATTTACCTGAACTTGATAAGGAGCACTTTTTGCTAAACATTTAGATATTTCTTTAAATTTGCTCATTGCCATTCCTTATTTATGGACATAATTACTTTTGAATTGACATTTGCTCTTTCTGCACCACCTGGTTACACAAGTGCAGGCATGAACGTTACCTCGACATGCCACTAGCCCTGAGGGTGTTGAGCAGAGAAGACACTGCAGGGCCGCGCCCGTGCATCGTTTCCTGAACCGACTCTGCTCTTAGTTCATTATGTGGACCTCAACCACGTAGAAATAATCTTGACTCGTTTGGCTTAAGAGTGTGAACTACAATGGCGTCTGCAGACCCAGCAAGCATTAACTTTGAGAGAACTCTGAGCTCAATTTGGTGACAATGTGAAAGCTTTTAACATCATAGAAGAAACTGTATTTCAATGTGAAACAGATCAATAAAATCAAACCATAAAGATGTTTTTTCTTCGTGTTCCTGGTTTCCTGTAATATCTGAGAACAATGCTAGAAAAGCAGCCACACCCTGAACATCAGCAATTATCATTATTAGGCCTACTCATCACCACTTTTAATCCTTTCGCTTTGTGACTGAAAACTTTCCCTTGACACACACACACACACACACACACACACACACACACACATTGACATGCAGACTGAGGAAGGTTTGAGACAATAAAGGGTAAAAGGGAGAAGAGACGAGCTGTCTGTACATGCAGTGATGCTGTCTGAGTCAGCATGTGTCTGTGTGTGTCTGTGTCCTGGAATAAGTTTCATTTGATAGTATAGGATTAATATAAAAGCACTCCTCCCTGCTTCCCGCCAATCATGGGTGTGTTCATGGGTGTGGAGCCTGTATTCGCCCAGGAGCTTCCCTCGGTTTTCCCGTTTGACAGTTGGAGGTGATCGCAGGGTGTTTTAATATTTTAATATCAATCTGAAAAGGTTACAACGGCTCAGAGAGGACAAGTAAAGGTGTACTCAGTTACATTTTGGACTGTGTAATATTGAACTTAATTGACCCGTGATGCTATAATTTCATGTCAGTGGTGGAAAGTAAGTACATTTGCTCAAGTACTGTACTTAACTACAGTTTTGAGGTACTTGTACTTTACTTCAGTATTTCCATTTTCTGCTACTTAATACTTCAACTCCACTACATGTTGTATCAAAGTATAATTTGATGCTGTTACTTTTGAATGCAGGACTTTTACTTGTAACAAAGTA